TATGATACATCTGAACTACTAATTAGAATAACCACATGTTTGATAATCGTGATAGTGTTGATTCAACTATCATGATAGTGATGGTACATTACTATCACGACCATCGCATATATAGATACTATCGCTCAGCACTAATTTATAGTACTGCTGGGAATATAGTTACTAAAAAAGAGCTTGTCTAAATCCAGAAACTGTTAATATGCTGGTTCTTCTAGCTGAAAACCTCAAATATTCATCTACATGTACCTTTCATCCTTTTGCCTATTTTGTTACATTAAATAAATATATTCAAATTAATTGTTAATATCGTGATAGTATCACTATCATTAAAATTTTAAGAACTATCAATCGTGATATGATAGTAGCACTATCGCCCAGCACTAGATATTAGTTCCAATATTAGTCTTATTGCCTTATTTGGGTATATCCATTCATGCGTTGTGTAGTTCTGTTTGTGTATTATTATTATATTAATACCAACATATTACCATTGTTTTTTACTGTCTGTTAGTTAATAATGTAAACACATAAACCTTTTCTTTAAAAGATAAAAATGTTGTGTATAATGTGCGGGTAGATTTTTAAAATGTGATTGTACGCTTGTGTAGTGGTATAGGAAATGTGGTGTAGTACATATGTTCCGGTACATGATTGTACTGAATGAGTAACAAATACATGTACGTGTACATGTAGATTCATGCAAGCTTAAATTAACTAATTATTATTGAATAGTCTAACCTTACTCTCTCCTTTCCTTGATAAGAACTGTTAAGATTATCAAGTTTTGTAGTGAGTACTTTCAGCTCTTCCTCCATCTTCTTCTTCTGAGTGGACAGTTCAAGGTATCGCTCATCCAGTGAGGACATTTTCTCTTCAAAACGAGTCATGAACTCCATCACTCCATTCACTGCCTCGGGGTGTACTGTTGACTGGAAGATACCATCAGCACCTTCCTCTTTCTAACAATGAGAAATAACAAAGAAAGATAATAATGGCTAGAAAAAAGTAAATGCATGTAGATGTAGTGATGTACATGTACTTTGTGGATTATGCACCTGAACTACACAATTACTAAATTTCATTATTACACTCTTCTTTTCAAATTTATAACGCTCACAACTGGAAAATTATTTGTCAGAATCAGCTCAACATCAAAATGCATCAGGAAATACTCACGTTTTGTCCTGACCTCCACTAGTCACATGACCAGAAAACTCACACATTAAATATTCATTGTGTATTAACTTAATACACAACATAAGAACATGTACTGTACATGTATCAGAAAAAAATCATTAAAATGTAGAATTCTCTTCTAGCCATTTATTGACTTTGTTGAACAACTTTAAAAATTTATTAAAAAATCCAAACTCAATCAAAATTAGCTATAATTTTCTACACAACATAAGAGCATGTATATAATATTATATCAGGAAAAATTACAAATAAAAAAAAATTCTTTTCGTTGTAACTTTTGTCGAAATATCCTGTACTATAGTTCCAGGTCTTAGGGTTTAGGCCTATTTTTTAGCAACTCAACAATCCACTGAGTACAATACAAAAATCCTGTGCAAAACTCTATCTGACTGTTTTATAAAATGGCTGATCAAATTAAGCAATGTTCAGACACAATGTCTGAACATTGTTTGAATGTAATTTGAGGCTTTGACAACACTGCATAATGAATTAATAACCTTTATAATAATCTATGTATTTTGGACAGGAGTCCATAATGTGGGGTTAAAGGAGTAGGAGTGTGAAACACCCCCACTTTAACGAGCTTTTCTGTCTGCCTACCAGAGCTAGCGGATATACTATTTTTAGAATGATTTTTAATTATTATTATTATTAATGACCACGCTTACTAATAAAGTGCTTTCTTTTTGAATGGAGATAAAACAAACAAGAGTACATGTAGCTCGAAGAGTAGTCTTTTATCATCTCTTTAATACAAGTAATGAGAGGTTCCTTGGCTGGAAGATTACAGATAGAGTAATAAACTCTCTCTTTGATACCTTACATTTCAGATGACACAACTACTTCTTCTTCACACTCGAGAAAACTTTTTACCATAGCTTGTTGATCCTTTTTCTTAAAGCTCTCCCTTTTTGGCTTCTTCTTTAGGGGCATTTTATACAGGAGTACTAGGTAGAAGAATGATATTGATAAACGTGTTGGGTGCAGTCATTAATTATTAATTAATAAACTATAATAATCATTCTAAAAATAGTACATGTATATCCACTAGCTCAGGTTGGCAGACAGAAAAGCTCGTTAAAGCGGGGGCGTTTCACACTCCTACTATTTCTTTAACCCCACATTATGGACTCCTGATTTCGGAAATGTATGTGTACAAGTTGTACAATAGAAATAATTTTACTAAAATAAAATGTGTTATAGGTTTCTAAGTACATGTACATTCTAGTGCATGCATACCTTCCGAGTCTTATCTTTAGTGAACACTCTGATATCATAAATTGGTGACCATGAAGCATTCTTCACAACGTAAGAGACAATCAGTGTAACATCAACCTTCTCAATAGAATGAAGAATAACCTTTACTGACCTGTAGAAGGAGAGAGGGAAGGAGAAGAGAAAGAGTTGAAACATGTAAAATGTCTTTCAAATGAATAACATGCCGTCAATCCATACTATCAAGAGTAGATAATCTACTCTTGATACTATCAATCTCTAAATGGTCAGGCAGTTTTCCAGGGCATTTGCGATGGAATTTCCCAGGGAATTTCCCAGGGAAGTTCCAAAGTATGTAGCTGTCAATATATATACATGTACATGTATGTGTGTAAAGTTTAAAATCTGTGTCAAGCAAGTAAAAAACAGTTAATCCATTTAATCTCTATATCTATCCAGTGATGTCAGGACAACAAACAGATCAGAGAAAAGTAATAGAAGGTAACCTACATGTAGTCTAGCAAATAATCTAGCTGTATAATCATATTTTTGAAAATAGCATTGATCAAACTTGCTCTGAAGTACTTGACTTCACCGGAAGGAGTAGAATATGAGGTAGCCCAGTTACGTAAAGAAGTCTATGATCAAATATATAACTATTTCATTGAAAAGTGCAGTGAAATTGTAGAAACAGCAGTAAATTGTGGGATTGAAAAAGCAAAAGAGCTTATGGATAAATCAGAAAATCCGATTGTGAAAGCTCTTAAAAGATTTATATTTGGTGATGATGAAGGTGTCAACAAAAAAAGGCGTCATAAAAAAGATGTCAAAAAAGATGATACCAATAATGATTGCAAGATGGTAGCGCAATGTGTCACAAAAGAAATTGCAAGGGAGGGAATGAAAGTGATGAGTAAACATGTCTCTATGGCTGCTGCTTCTGGAACAGCTAACAGTACAACAAAGGTTGTAC